ATTGAGCGAAGTATCTACAGAGCGAAATACACGATGGCTTACCTGGAGACAAGAGGTCGAAACTAGAGTCTCCAGGTAGCAAGGGATCCAGCTATATACAGGGAACGAACAATGGGCGCTAGAGAACAATAGCGTCGCCATGGGTACGGAATACAAGGGGTGTAGGACAATAGCGGACGTGGGAACAAAGGGAGCTATTGTCCGTGTGTGGACAAAGGGAAACCGTAGCGAGTAGTGAACAATAAGGAAACGTACGAGGCAGTGGTCCGAATCGAAAAGGAAACGTAGCGCCGTGAGGGCGGTTCGTGACACCAGTTTGGAACGAATATCGCCTGAGCATCGGCTCTTGGACACCAGACCAGGCGAGCCTCGAGTTTACTATCCTTGACGAACTCGAGCATTGGGTACTCCGTGACGACGGGTACGATGCGGACGACGAACTACCATCACTCGTCAACATCGAGCAAGAATCATCGGCAGGCAACCCCTCAAGCCCCGAACCACTAGACATCTTCTCCTTCCTTACGAGAATTCGGGACAACGCGAGCGCGTTGTACGACATCACCAACCACCACCCAACCCTCACCCCGATCTCCGAGCAAGCACACATCCAGGTTCTCATCGAACAGGTTCAGCAGGTCGTCAACACCCTTCACAATCTCCAATGGCTCGTCAGCCCACCCCTTCCCCCCATCCCCGTTAGCCACGACCCAGAAGAACACCACGGATCCAGTTACTTTGCTGCTCGAATTCGCAAACAGGCCGAGAATCTTCGTAACGTTCAGAGTCTTTTGGACCCGGACTTCGCCGAACACTGCCGACGCCTACATCTACTCATTGGGGCCAGGGAACTATACGAATCTCACCGTCGCATCATTCGAAACGGATACGAGTCCCCTGACGCTAGTTCCGATTCCGACTATTCGGCGAGTCTACGCAACTTCCACCTGGACTAGGTATCCCTCCGCATGAATACGCAGCGGACCGATTGCGCCCAACGTATTCACCAATACGACCCTGAGAATCGACGCGACGTCAGCTTCAATAGAGAAGGACAGAACAGGCGCACTTGCAATAACCACCTGTGCCCCAACCGATACAACGGACAGAGCAGCCCCAACGTCATCACCGGAAACGCGCCACAGAAAAGGCAGGAAGCCTTCATCCGAATGACTTGGGCCCTCAATCGAACAACAGCCCCCTCCCCTCCGCGTAGCCCTGCTACCCATCGCACTAGTTCCCTACCAGACGTAGCGAACGAGCCCACTGAGGCTACACCCTTGTCGGAAGACAACCCCGCTCCTCGAGACGACGAAGAAACCGTCACCCCTCTCCGCGGTCCTCTCCAAGCACACCCGGACGAACCAGACAGCGACGCGGACACGACAACAGAACTCATAGACACCACTATGTCCACAGTACCACCCCGTTCTAGCCTCCCCAGTTTCCAACTCGGAAATTTGTTCACTCCCCAAGACAGCATCTCCTCGCTACGCCAGGCGACAGGGGCCCAACCTGGTCAAACCACTCACTACGCCAGCAGTGGAGTCCCGACAGCACCACCTGTGATACCACCTACTACTGCTGCACCGCCTGGTCGGCCACCTACACCCCCTGGTTTGCCTCAAGGACCTGGCGGACCTCCGCAAGGCGGCAGACCTCCTCAAGGACCTGGCGGACCTCCGCAAGGTGGCGGACCACCTCAAGGCGGTGGACCTCCCCACGGCAGCGGACCCCCTCCGGGTGGCGGACCTCCTCAAGGCCCTGGCGGACCACCACCTGTGGCTCCTCTCGGCGCACCAGGCGTCTTCGCCGGACAAACCAAAGTCTGCGCACCCAATGTGCTTGATGGAGACCGCGACAATCTACGCATCTTCCTCAATGAACTCTTCCTGTTCTTCGAAGCACGTCCAGCCGACTACGCCACCAACCAGAGTCGCATCGTCACCGCCCTAACGTTCATGGACGGACCGAAGGTGATCGCCTGGAAGGACGGATACATCGCTCAGGCCCGACGAAATGGCTGGAACACCTGGAATGCGTTCGAGACGGTCTTACAACAGACCTTCCAGCCCATCGAGGAAGTCGCTACGGCCGCCTCCAAGCTGTACCACCTCGACTACCGACCTGCTGCACCAGACACCTTCAACGCGGAATTCTTCCGCCTCTGCGCCCTCGCCGGTATACTCGAAGACAGTGCTCAGCTGTCCTTTTATAAAGAGCGTCTCCCAGAAAGCATGCGACGACGGGTTCGCCTCACGTACCCCATCCCCACCACCGTTAATGAGTGGGCAGCACGGGTGTTGGAAATCGAACACTCCAACTACGAGGAACGACACCTGCACCAACTCGAGGGACGCTCTCGCAACGACCGGCAGGGCCAGGGCACAAAGGGACAGTCCGCTCGTACCAACTCCATACGACGAGTCGACGCTCCAGCCATGAAGGAAGACAGAGAGAAGAAGCAATGCTTCTACTGCCACAAGACTGGTCACATCGCACGCGACTGCCTTAAGAAGAAGGCAGACAATCGTGCCAAGGGACGACAGCCTGGACAGAAGAAGCGGAAGGTGCGCAAGGTCGATGAACTAGAGGATGGCAAGGTCGCCGACGACGAAGACAATGGCGAAGCCACACCTGACAAAACGATCAGTCAGGTCGACGTAGACGATTCGGATGAGGGTTTTTGAACGGGCAGTCTTCGCCGACAGAAGAACTGCCCTCTGACTGTATTAGTATCTCGTTTGTTGCCACTACAGAACGACAACGTCAATCTATTCTTATCCCGGGCAGCATCGAGTACGAGTCTACAAGTGTCGGAGCTCATGCGTTCATCGATTGCGGAGCAAGCGCCTCTCTCCTTAACCGGAATTTCGCGAAGAAGCACAAACTCCCTCTCATCACCTTACCCTCTCCCCTTCGTTTCACCAATATCGATGGCACCTCCAACACGGCCGGACCAGTCACCCACAAATTTGTAGGCCACTTCCGAATTAACAGCCACGAGTTCCCCACCGAACTCTACGTCGCGGACTGCGGACGGGACGACATCATTCTCGGAATGCCATGGCTCATCCAGTACAACCCCCACATCGACTGGGTACAAGGCAAGGTCCGGTTCGACGCCAAATACCTACGGGCGGAACAGCGACTTTGGGAATACCATCAGCGCCCCTCAGGGAATCCCTGCCGACACCTTACCGCTTTCCTTCACGGAGACATCCATCCCGAATGGAACCCATCTGCCACCATCCGACGACTCATCATTGGAGACGCCCCCATCGCTTGCACCACCGTATCAACCCAACTAGCTGTCGAAGCCGGGTCGAAAGCAGCCGACGTCAAGGCTACCGTCGCCATCCCAGACTACCTCAAAACCTATCACCAGGTGTTTGAGAAGAAGGCGGCTGAACGAATGCCCAAGCCCCGGGCCTGGGATCACCCCATCGAGCTCCGACCTGACTTCAAACCTCGGGACTGTAAGCTGTACCCCCTGTCTCCGCTCAAGATGCAGGAACTTCGGAAGTTCATTGACGAGAACCTAGCCAAGGGGTACGTCCGCTCATCCACCTCACCGATGGCATCCCCTTTCTTCTTCGTGGACAAGAAGGATGGTTCCATGCGGCCCGTCCAGGACTACCGCTACCTCAATTCCGGCACGATCAAGAACGTCTACCCCCTCCCCCTGATCAACGATCTCATTGACCAGTTGCAAGGGGCCAAGTACTTCACGAAGTTGGACGTCCGAGCCGGTTACAACAACGTCCGCATCAAAGACGGTGATCAGTGGAAGGCGGCCTTCAAGACCCCCCTCGGCCTCTACGAGCCGACCGTAATGTTCTTCGGGCTATGCAACGCCCTGGCGACGTTTCAGGCGATGATGAACGACGGTTTCAAGGACATGATCGCGGAGGGATGGCTCGTCATCTACATGGACGACATTCTGATACACTCCAAGACACAGGACGTCCACCACCGTCGAACGCAGCGGGTCGTGCAGCGTCTCATCGAAATGGACCTGTTCCTCAAACGCGAGAAGTGCGTGTTCGACACTGCTGAGGTCGAGTTCTTGGGCACCATCATTCGCGAAGGATCGCTCGGTATGGACCCGGTCAAGCTCGACGGCATCCGCGCCTGGCCTGTACCCACCACCGTCAAACAAGTCCAGAGCTTCCTCGGATTCTGCAACTTCTACCAACGCTTCATCCGTGACTATAGCAAGATCGCTCGGCCGCTGACACAACTCACCCGGAAGGATCTACCCTTTCAATGGACGCCCGAATGTCAGGTTGCATTCGACATGCTCCGCAACCTATTCCAGCAGAAGCCAATTCTGTGCATGGCCGACCCATCTGCGGCCTTCCAAATTGAATGCGACGCCTCCATGTTT